ATGTTCTTTTAGCCGTATCATGCTCGGGCTGATCGGTAGCTTCAGCGGGATTGGTCGGGTCCATTTCGACTTCAACGGATACGCGAGCCCTCGAAAACACTGGTGATTTGTGTGGACGGGAGAGAATGTAGTCTCACGACGGAGCGCAGGAATAGAATATCGACGGCGCAACTATAAAGCAAAATAGTAGTGCCGTACGGCGCATTCGAGAAATTTAATCATCTGGATACTTTTCTCTCTCTCTCTCTCTCTCTCTCTCACTCGATCGAGGCGATGCTTTTAGTAAAATCACGTCAGTGAACGGAGAATGGGGAGGAAGTAATACTAACATTAATTCCAATGATCAGCAAATCGGGAAAAAGTCTCGCGCGCGCAAGTCGGAAAATGTTGCGAAACTATTTCACTATTAATTTATTTGAGTAATACTTTGTGAGTGACACATCAAAGCGACTCCTTTTCCCTGATTTATTTACTATAACTATTTTGGTTAATATTAATATTACCCCCCTCCCTCTCTCTCTCTCTCTCTCTCTCTCTCTCTCTCTCTCTCTAAAAGCCGCGTCGTTCATTAGCGTAATGCAGTATTATGAAAAAAGCATTTTCTCAACGAAAAAGATACTTTTAACTTTTCGACACTCACTCGCGCAGAGGGAGATATTTAAAGTAACGAAATAAGGATGCACGCGTGATTTCCCAACGAAGCCGTTGGGTAAGAGTATTTGTCAGGGAGATTTTACTTTTCCGGTGAAACGATACCCTCGATATGTCCAGCCGGAAAAAAAGCTTTTTGAGAAAGACGATATCCTGCTGTATATACATTGCGAGAGTGAAATCTCGCTACGAGCAGAGTGCACGCTCGAATTACTCCGCCGTCGCAGTCGCAGCCGCAGCCGCCGTCGATTTACTACCTCGACACCGGTGCCGTTCTTGAACCTTACCGTCAACCTTATTAGCGTGGCTTCAAATCCGCGTCGCGCGCAGGACGTCCACGAGGAATGTCATTATTTTTCGCCGCGGCGTCTCGATATAGCACGGCACCGCGGGGGGCCGAGCGAAAATAGATTTCTTCGCTCGACGGCTCGTGCGATCGAGTCGCGCCCACGTCTCAACATTTCACAAATTATTTCCAGCGACAGGATCCGACAATCTCGCAGTCGCGATCGCGATGACGGGGTCTCGACGTTACAATAATGTAATCCCGGCGCCGGAGCTACGCTGTTTCATTGCGCGAGAATTTGTCTCAACCGCGGTCGCGTGTTGTTGCGAAAACAATTATGACGAGTTCGTCGCGGGGTTTGCGCATGCGCGCGCGCGCGCCCACGCTATCACACGCGTGGCTGATATCTCCGAGTGGAATTAAATTGAATGAGATCGCGGCGATGATAATTGCGCGGCCGTACCGAGCTGTAATTCCAGTACGAGCTGCAATTATCGCCGAGATTTACGTTTCACATGAGGTTGCGGACGAGTCAGGGTCGGAGTGACAGCACGGGGTCGTTTTGAAACTCCAGCCCGAAATTTGACCGAATAAAAACACCGTCCGCTCTCCCTTTCTCCCTCCCTCTCTCCGCCCCTTCTCTCTCTCTCTCTCTCTCTCTCTCTCTCTCTCTCTCTCTCTCTCTCTCTCTCTCTCTCTCTCTGTCTGTCTGTCTCTCTATCTCGTAACTCCGGGAGGAAATAACTTCGCAGGCTCGCATCGTCAAGTTTCGGCTGCGAGAACCGCGCGTATTTTACGTTGTAACGAAATTCCCGGAGGAAGTTGGCGCGCGCCGAGGCCGAAAGCGAGAATATAAACCGCGTTATATTACTTCGTCGCGGTACCCGGCGAACTCATAACTCGTATCTTGCGCGTGCCGGCGCGGCCTTGGAAAATTAAATTCTCAGAGAATACAGCGGATTCGCGGGAAATCAGTTTTTCCGTTCGGAGGGTCCTCGCGTGACTCGCGGAGGCTTCTTCGCGTCTCAAGCGGATCGAATGGCTCGAAGGTTTAACGAAGTCCGATAATTGCGCGCGAAGGAGGGACGCCCGTGGGCAGAATTAATTCGAGATGGTCGCGCGCGGCTCGATCCTCTGACCGCGTCGATCGAGCTTATCCTCGCGCGGCGCGACCACCATATCGCTCGCGGGCAAAAGTCCCATTCTGAATTTGATTCGACGTCACTTCCGGCCGTGCGCGCGATGTGAAAATGGAGGCCTCCCCCTCCCCCCACCCCCCTCCCGCCGAGCATACAGCGGCGCTAATGGTGCGCAAGAATTGCACGCAAAGGGGACATCGTTTGAAGACGTCCATGTAAAATTTGTCCTCTGACGTGAACCGTTCGCTCGATGCAATTTCGCCTCTCGCAGACCGGCCCTTTGTCCCGGCGCGCCGTGCCCGCGGATTCCAGAAAGGCACTCGCGCGCACCCTCCAATTTATTTCCGCTTCCGTTTCGATGCGCGAGAGCACGTCCCGCGATTGTTGCGACTGTGCACCGGCGGCAAAGAGAGGAAGAGGGAGAGAGAGAGAGAGAGAGAGAGAGAGAGAGAGAGAGAGAGAGAGAGAGAGAGAGAGAGAATGTGTATGTAGAGAAAGAGAGAAGTACCGTATGCACTGTCGGTATCGGTTACAAGAGGACAGAAAGAGCCGAAGCAGAGCCGCACCTCTTTCAGCGTCACGTTGCTCATAATCGCTCGTGAACATAATCGCTCGTATAGTTTGCTTCTCAAAGGCGAGAGCTTTTGTCAAGTACACAAGTACGCGCTCTGGCGCAAAGAAGCGCGTTTTCGCTCGCCTAAATCGTGAGAATATACGAATTGTCTTCTGTCCGACTCAAAATCTTTCCATTCGATTCGACAAATTTCGACCGCGCCGCGGATGATCGCGGCGTCATAATTACGGTGAATCGCGAGAGCGGCGTATATACCGCGAGATCGGAGTTTATTATAGAGAGTACATTTCACGGTGTAGGCACATGGTAACCGCGACGGATCGGATCCTGGCAATTATCCCGGCGGAGGTTCAACATCGCGATTTAAGGGCTTTCGTCGGGGCGTTATATTAACGCGCCGCGGCTATTTATACGTTTGGACAAGCGCTATTTCATAAATTAGCGAAGCAACAACAGCGGCGCGCCGCTGGCGAGCATCACCGCGTGATCGATTGCATCGCGATGTTGCATCGCGGAAATAGGTGCGCGCGAGACGGGAATATCGGCCGAATATTGTGGAATTTGCGGCGGTGAATAATACGCCGGCCGCGTGTCCACGGTATCAGCGGCCGTACGTTTAGGCTCGCCATCGCGAATTACTCGCATTCGTCCTTTGTATCGTGAGGCAAATTGACGGTGACGTTTGTCAGCCCGGCGAAATATCGCCTGACGGGCTCGCGGCCCAAGCACAACTCATCGTCCTCGCTAGCATAAATCGAACGAGAAAGAGTAGAGAAGCAGCTTGTGCTGCGCGAAATTTATTATTATGCCGCCGTCGCACTGTGCGCACTCGTGAATAATTCGTCCAACGTAAAAATGTCGAGTGCAAAAGTGTCGTATACCCGACTAGAAATTTTGATCAGGTTCAGCTAACATTGATAAGGACCTAATAGGGTGAATGAAAGGTAATCCTAAGTAAGTCAGTCCTTATAATGTCCTAACGACAAATGAGTAAGGAAGACCTTTATAAGGTTATAATGATTGGGTCCACTTTAGGACCTTAATGTACCAACCTAGTGCGTGATGTAATATGGTTCAGTTAATCAGGTCCTTGTCGGGATCTTATTCATTGTATCTAATATGATTTGCATTAGCAAGTTTTAACAAAACAATTTTTCGGTTTCATTCCCAAATATAAAGATGTTTGCATTGAACAAACATTTCAGATCACTTGAATATATTTGTAAAATGCTATAGAAACTATCCTTTCTTTCAATTCAGTCAATAAATAGTTGTAAAATTAACGTGACATGCAACTTTTCTCTTTAACACTACTTTATGTCTTGCGATATTCATTTGATGTTTCTTTTCCGAAACATTTTACAAGTATGTGCTCAAGCGGGGTCTGAAATATTATTTCATGCAAATATCTTTTTATTTGGAAATGACATGAAAGAATTTTCAGCGTGTCAGCGTTCTTATTTCTAATGTCATTATCCAATATAGCCGTGGCGAGTAATCAGGAGCCATAATTTGGAAAAGAAAACGTAATAAGGATTCCATAAGGTAACTCAATAGGACCTGACTATGAATCCTTACTAAGGTCCTGATATCCACGCTGCGTTACATGATTTACTAGGAGCCGATAGTATTACCTTATTGGGACCTGATGTCCAAATGAGGTTAACCTGATCAGGACCATGGGATAAATTTCTAGTCGGGTAGATCTACCTTCCAAGTTCACGCGTAGCATCCGCTGACTGAAGGTCGCCACGTTTCTCCCCGACACGCTTGTTTCGACACCCTTTCCGTATTCGATGGGGAGAAAATATGTCCCCCAAGAATAGCTAAAGGACAATTTCTCCCGTTGGACACGTGACGAAACTGCGTCGAGAAGGAATGTTACGAGCGTAGCTGGCAAAATAGGTCAGTGAGCGGCGTGCAGTTTTTGGTAGAGATTATTCAAAGTTTTATGCAGCGAGCCGTTTTTCACGCGCGTTTTAACGAGCGTTGAATAAAACTGACGGAAGAATTAATAAACAAACATTTTGCTCTCGCACGGCGTATTTTTTTCTTTATTTTCATTTTTTTTTTCGAATATCCGTCATTTTGGTCAACCCGGTAGAAATTGACCCTCCTGGTGGTCCTGGTGTTAATCAATCGACTGTATGCGCGTTCTTTTATTTTTGTTTCCTTTTTGCTTTGGTCTCGCCCAAACACACAGGAACCTTCCGCCGATCGCTCGCGGGTTATTGCGAATATCTCCGTTTACGTCAGGATTACGTACGGAATCCAATTTTTCATTTCAGCGGACCGAAACAGATATTCCTCATGCGGATATTAAACGCCATATTTGTTGTCTGATTCGCAGGACTCGGAGCTCTGCATCTCGCTCGGCCTGAGCCTGCAGTATCTGCGGGTGTCGGTGCTCTGCTGGTTGGCGGCGATGTGCCACCACCTGTACGCCACTGTGGCATCGATACCGCGTCGCGACGACCCGCCGACGTACTTGAAGTACAGCCTGTTCGCCTGGGGTGCGCCGCTGGTCACCCTCGGCTTAGCGACCTTCCTGCAGAGTCGCGAGGGCCACGATTTCTGGAACGTCATCGAGCTCACGCCCTTCAATTGCTGGTGAGACTCCAATTATCGCTACGATCAACCGTTGCGTCGCAACGGGCGGATGTCGAGTCGCTCGAGAAGTTCGCCTCGACCTTTGAGTGGTGAATTTTCACGTAATAGCGCGGCAACGGACTCGGTCACCTTCCACGACGAAGGTGCACCAATACCGCAATGACGTGGCAATTGCAGAGGCAACGACCTCGCGTTTTCTTGGTTGAAGGGATAATTGCCTTCTATCCGCGCGATGCAATAAAATCCGATTTGTGGTCTAAGGATCGAACCAGAGGATTTCGGTCGAGACTCGACGGGTCCTGGTCGAGAATACAGATAACAACGCAAGCCGACGTGCATGTCGATCAGCGTCCACGTCCGTCCATCTCCCGTGAGACACCGGGGAAGGGAAAACATTTATCTCCGTCGTCGGTCGATCGGGAAACTCAGCCAATACGGGCAGAATTAGCGTTTCCTCGCGTTCAAGAGAACCTCCGCGCGAGTTCGCAGAGTGACTCGGCTCTCTCTCTCTCTCTCTCTCTCTCTCTCTCTCTCTCTCCGTTCCTTAACGCGTGCATTCCGCCCCGCTCGCGTCCTGCCGCGACCCACTTTGTTCTCCAGGCTTCGCCGAGATGCGTGGGATCGAAAGACACGGTAGCGTGACGATGGGACTTGGTTTTCCAAGCCGCAAAGGATCCACCGGAAGCCGGAGTCCTCTCTACGCTCGAACTCGTCGGGATATTGGATGGCGAGGCGGAAGCTCGCGCGCGCGCGCGCGCTCGGAAATGTCCTTCGAGAAATGTCGCGTGTGTGTACATAGAAGATCCATTTATTTACTTCGAGATTTTGCTCTCCCGTCCGTCGTGCCTCCTTTCTTCTTCGTTCCCGTCTCCAGTACCCATGAGGAAGTCCCGCGGAACGAGCAATTTTCGTTAAATCAGATTCGCCCGACGGCGAAACCACAATACCGAGCCCCTGGCATTGGTGCGGCATTTTTCGAGGTGAGCTATTCGGTAAGTATCTACCATCTGTCCGTCGATGTTCTTCTTTACGAGACTACGGCAGATGATATCTGAAACGTTTCTCTTGTTGTTCTTGTTCGTCCTCGATGGCGTCCGTCTGTATATCTGTACAGAAAATCGGGGGACACGCGTTCTCTTTCAGTCGCGAATTCGCAGCGTCGAATTTCCTCGCCGCGGAGAGTCAAGCTCCATACATGCCGCGATGTTCTTCTTCCTGACGAGATTACACGAGCTGTTTCTTTTTATCATCCTCGCAGTATCGATTTGTACCGATCACGTACCGATCGACGGCAAATCGGAGAGCACGCGTTCTCGATCGATCGCATCGCCTCGGTGAATCTGCAACGTCGGATTTTTCCCTCGTGAAAAGCCAAATGCGCCGGGCTTCAGAGAGAGCTCTTCAAGCTACGCGACCTCCAAGTCCCACGTGCCGCATATTATCCGCGTCATTATAATCTTATATACGGTATCGCGTTACCGGGAATCGCGTCGACTCCACTCCGATCCCCCGCCAGACGACTTCAATCCGTTAATACCCGAAGGACGACGGATTTTCTTCACGGCGCCAGGCCGAAGCCTGGCGGAACATCCGGGAAATCTCGGGCGATCTCGGGAAATAAACGGCGAGGAATATTTCGCGCGGGCGCGCGCAATAATCGAGCTGCCGGGACGCGTGCAAAGCGTGACCGAGCGCCGGAAATGGCCGTTCGATATCGCGCGAGTGTGTGTCTCCAGATAGAATGGTGAGTTTCGCAGACGCTCTTTGACCCAGTCTGCTCTCCCCGCCTGCTACCTTCTCGGGGACGGGAAGCGGGATTTCGCGTATTCGTCGCGCGCGCTCGCACGTGCGATTTACAGGCGAAACTTAATAAAACGGAGGCTAATAAATATTTTCGCCGCGCCTCCCCTCGCCCTCCTTCCCTCGCGTTTCACTCGGGACGCTAGGACTCAATGTTCACGCGCGCGGCATATTCTCAGCAGCGCGCCGAGTCACCTCGTTCGGCGAACGTATCGCCCGATACGATCTCCATAAGAATCGACGGCCGACTCTGAAATTGCCTGCGACGGCTGCGGGACTAATGCGAGTGCGCCGTTATTTTCAGGTTCCTCGGAGTCAGGGCGACAGTTTACGCGTACGGCTTACCGGTCATCCTGCTGCTACTGACTTCCGCTTACTACCTCGTGAAGGCTGCGATCGTGTCGAGGTATATACTTCACCTTTTATCTTTCGATTGCACCGATTTGTTTCACGATCAAATGCGTTTTAGACTGTAACGCGAAAGAGGATCTCGCGCGCACGCGCGCGCGGTGTATCAAGATTTAATTTACCGCGTCGCGAAGTTCGCCGCGATAGCCACCCACCGAATTAATAACGACGCTCTCTCTCTCCTCTCTCTCTCTCTCTCTCTCTCTCTCTCTCTCTCTCTCTCTCTCTCTCTCTCTCTCTCTCTCTCTCTTTCTCTCGCTCGCTCGCTATCTCTCGATATCTCTCGATATCTCATCGCGCGAAAGAATCAATCGCGCGCTTCTGGCGCAATTCCACGCGCGTCCTCGACATCTTCGGCTTTACGAATGGTTTACTGCTCCAAACCTTGCGAGATGTACGTCGGCCGTACATTATCATCCTCGTAATTCCAAACTTTGCTTTCCCGTGTGTGAGTTCCGAAAGTTTCTCGCGATCCTCTTTCTCGGTCACGAATTACGTCACAGGATATAATTCGCGGGCGCGCGCGCGCACGCAGGTACACGTGCAGCATGCAGCTGGAGATCAAGCAGCGGGAGAAGATGAAGCGGAGGCGGGCGCTGCAACTGATGCTCTTCCTGAAGATCAGCCTGATCGTCGCGGTGGTCGCCGGCTGTGGGGTCGCGTCCAGGGTCCTGAAGATCCCCTTCCTCTGGGCGATCTTCTGCACGGGCCATTCGCTTCAGGTACGTAGCAGAAGAGATACGCCTCGCAAAAAGCGTTCTGAGCAAGTCTCGAAAGCGGGAGATCCTCGCGTCCCCGAGCCACCATTTCTTCTTCCTCCCTCCCTCCCAACGCCCTCTCGACCCCTTCGCCGTCGTTCGTTTTCCCTCGTAACGACGTACCTTACGACCATCGTATCTCCATCGCATTTCCGCTGGATTATGGCGCAGATATACGAGCGAACATCGCGCGAACAGAGGTTGAGGGATGAAAAAACGCATCGTCGCGATTTCTCGCGCCGGCGACGCCGCCGCGTTTCGTCACGACTGATTCGTCGTTATTGTTATGCATTCATTATGCGTTTTTCGAGTTCCGTCTCACTGGAACCATTTTACCTGAGCCATTGTGTTCGTAATGCGATTTTCCCATTTTCGGAGCATTACTCGCGGCATTATCGGGACCGTCAGTGGCATCGTTATTTGGATGACCATTTGGATTCACCATTATTGGAACTCGTTCGCGCGCCAATACGTGCATTGGCGTGTATTTCGCATTCAGCTGGCTTCGAAATTTGATGCGCCGTGAATTCCAACGCTTTAATTGTCATGCATTCCACAGGCATGGCTAGCGCGCCTCGTTCCTTGCGCCGACTTCATTTTCTCAACATAGAGAGATCTCGCCCGCGTTCCCGATGACGCTCGATGTCGCGGCGCGTCGCATCGCGCATAAAGAGGCGAGAGGGCGAACGCAGGAATGCGCGGAATCTCTTACGCCCCTCCGGAAACTTCCTCGGGAACTTTCCGCCCCTGACATTCGATCTTGCGTCAAGCGTAAACGGCTTTTCAGCGTGCCTCTCTCTCTCTCTCTCTCTCTCTCTCTCTCTCTCTCTCTCTCTCTCTCTCTCTCTCCCTCTCTCTCTCTCTCTCTCTCTCTCTCTCTCTCTCTCTCTCTCCCTCTCCCCCTCTCTTTACCCGCGCATGTATATACACATATATATATATGGAGAGAGAGAGGGGGGGAGGGAATGTATATCTCCATCTTCCTTTCCGCAGACGCAAGTTTGCCGAGTCGAGTCGAGTGTTCTTCAGCAGCGAAAGCTTTTCGCGATCGACGAATCTCGAAGTGGCGGAAGATGTGTCGACCTCTTCTCACTTTACCCGCGTCCAATCGTACGCCCTCGTCCTACCGTGCTCGCTTTCGCTACTAGGTGCACTCCTCGCTTCCTTTGCCCTTCGTCCCTTCCCTTTTTACCTTTGCGATGGCGACTGAAAATTTAGAGCACCGAGAGCAGGCGCTCCCTCGAGAGACGCTAGTCTCTCGAGTATTCTTTTCTAATAATTAGACGCTCGTTAAGTATCGCTTCAATTATGCTGCCACTTGCGCTTAACAAGTTCCTCTCACCTATTTTTGCTTTGTATACCTTTAATTTAGTTTTTCTTCTTGTTCTGTACGCCTCGCGTGCCTCGTTTGCTTTTCCATCCAGCGCTTCTACCGTCATTCGCAGCGTCGAGAGTTTCGGCTAATCTGAATCTCTCGAGGTACAGCTGGATCGGACTTTCTTTTCTCATAATCCCACACCAGGTTGATTGTGTATCTCTGGCATGTGTAATTCGACGACACAGCTCTGTGTCCAATTCGTTGCCTTACCACATTCGACGATTCTATTCTATTGCTCAGGGATCGGCGGTGGCACTCTCCGTCGCGTGTAACTGCAGGGTCCTGAAAGTCTACGCCAGGAAGTCGCACAAGCAACCGGAGCATCAGGTACGATGTTTTGTCGACAGGAAGTTTTGTTTGTCTCTCCGTTGGTCTTTCAATTAAATCCCTGCCCGCACCACCGATGGCACATCCGATTGCCTGTTGTCCTTTTGAGAGTCCCTACACACATGTCCGCAGGTTTTGAGTCGTCCTTTGCGAAATCTCAAGCATGTCCTCCTCGAGAAACGAGGATTAATATTAGAGGAGAGTCCCTCAACTTTAATCGCCGCTGCCTTTCTTCTCGCAATCCGGTTTAGATTAGTTGCATTCGTGCGTGAAAAAATGCTTTTCCCTTCAATATTCGAAAAATTGCATCGCGCGACAGCTTTGCGAGAATTCATACTTGTTTCGGACATTCTACAAGCGAGGCAAACGCTGTTTCCTACGAATTCCTAAGGATCCCCCGGGGAAATGCGAGCTTTAATGGCTTAATAGCGGTTCCAAATTTCGCGAGTTGAAAATACGCGCATTTGGCTCTCTCCAGCTTGTCTCTTTCCACCGAGGGAAACCCTCGAGCGCAAATTATTTAATCCGGCTGATTGCGGTCTGTCCTCGTTTTCCAGGTCAGACTGAATTAAACTGTCACGCCCTTTCATTCCTTATTTCAGATGTTTGACTCTATTTCTCGGTTTACCGAAATATCCGAGTTTATTTCTGCTAGCGACCGTTCCGCCGTTCCGAGAGGCCTCGATAATTACTTACTTTCGTGGGATACTAACCTGATCCCTCGGACCAAACCAAAACTCATCCTGACCGATCCCCGAATTCTTCCATCTTTTTCGTTTTTTCTCCATCTTTTCTATTTTGCGGAAACGATCGAGTTATTTTGACGGTAGAAAGATACTGAAGGGAACGTTAACGTTGCAGAGCTAAAGTTAATAAGCGCAAAGAATAGCGTTCTCTCCTTTCTCTCCTTTCGGGTATCGGCTGTCATTTCTTCAACTTAGACGATTGTTCAGTTTGTGTTGGTTTATGTTGAGACGCGAGGTAGAGGTCCTCTATACAGCGTCGCGATTTTTGTCGTTGACGTTGCAGATCGCGAAATCGAGCAGCAGCATGCAGCTGCTCGCACCCGCGCCGGATCCAGTTTAGACGATCTCGGCGACGGTCCTTGGCACAGGATGGACACGAACGAAGAGGAGGACCGACAATAGCGACGGCTGGTGTCTCTGTCCACGTGGTGTAACTGTTTTTACATCGAGACGTTCCCTCGTAACTTTCGTCGCTCCCGCGCGACCCGCGGGATGACGTTCCTTTGTGCACGACGTGCGATTCCAGTTTCACTTATCGATCGCTTCAGCTTCGAGAACTTGGTCCACTCGATGTTTAAAGTAACGAAGAAGTTCGTAGCGAATCCGTGACCCACAATCCGCGCGGAGGCTCCGCGCTAGGAGATGTAAATGGGACAGTAAAGCAGTATTTCGGATACCGTGAGGAGAGATTTTTCCGCAAAACGCTCGATTCCATTCGACGACGTGTGTTATTTAGCATGAACCGTAAGTCTTTCCCGCGAGTCTGGAATTCCAAAACTCGCGCGACGGATCGCGGATAAGAGAGCAAAGTCGTACACGCAAAATCGCAGGGCCCGGCACATAATCCCGGCAGAACATTAAACATCATTTGGCCCGCCATTGTTCCGCGGCAGGCTCGAACGAGCCGGCAATTCGATCCCTCTCGCATGAGCGCGTAAGCCGAGCTGATCCGCTCGCCGATGGCACCGTAATCATTATCAATCATGCCCAACGTAAACCTTACGTCCCGTATGAATCCTAATTTCGACGATTCCGCGTGTGCCGGCCCCGCATGGGCTTCAATCAATTCCCCGCTGAGACGCGTCGCGAGTTTCTCGACGCGGCGCGGCCGGCTCAAGCTGACACAAATTGACGCGCGCTAATCGTAAAATATGAGAAATGAAGATTACACCGTGCGGAAGAAAAAAATTAATAAAAAAAGAAAAGAAAAGAAGCAAAAAGGAGCCAAAGGAGCACGCGAAAAGGCGAAAGTTTTCAAGTGAAGGCAGCGTTATGAACTTCGTCGTACTTTCCGAAGTAACGTTAACAGCCCGTAAGATAAACTGCAGCCTGCTGAGGCGTCGAGGCGCGAAGGATTAAGTTGTTAATTATTACCGGGTGCGCACGATTAATAACTGCGCGACGTGCGGGTTTGTCAGATATGCGGCAGATTCGCCGGGCGCTAAAACGTAGCCCGGGCTCTAATTAGAGGAAAATCAATTAGCGGGACCAACGTCCCGCTCCCGGTCTCCCTCTTTATGTTTGGCGAACTGCAGCGGTCGATTCTCGAAAATCCAATCGCACGCAGTCGCGTCGGTCGAGCGAGATCCCCGAGCGCAATCTGCAACTCGATTATGACGTATGACGTCGCCCAATGTTGCAATGACATAATGTGAGCGAAACGGAAACGACGATCCGACGAGCGGTCCCCGATATCGTGACGGAGAATTTCGCGCTCGACCAGCGAGCAATGCGGTGCGCGGTGGTACGCACCTTGTACGATATGCATATCGCATTAAATATGCTACTATCAGCTGCTGTGTGTAATTCTATGCGTTGCGCGAGTGTTTCATTAACAATCGCCCCGTAATTATTACCCGCGCGTACAGCGTCGTCGCCCAAAACGCTTCGGTTCTCGGAATGTTACGGAAATGTAATCACGTAATTGATACGTAATCATGTGGATGACCCATTTTACGAAATCCGTCTATATAAACACACACACACACACACACACACACATATATATATATATATATATTTATGTGACGCAATTCATTCGTTTCATTACTCGCGTGCATTTGATCAATTTCGACATGGAGAATCGTTCTTCCGCGCAACGCTTTAAATTCGCCGAGGCCGCCCGATCGGAGAGATTGAAACCCAGCCGCCTACGACGGAAGCTGAACACGCGAGCGGGAAAATCGAACGTTTTCCGAATATTTCCGAAAAGTGGATCGAAGCTGAAGCGTGACGTGTGCTACGTGCAAGTATGTGTGTATGTGTGTGCGCATGTAGGCGCATGTCCGATGGTGCCCGCTACTGCGATGGCCGTTACTATGACTTTCTCAAAGTGATGGATACCATAGGTTAAAGCGACGTCGTACACCGTAATTCAATTTGTAGAAGTCACTTAAGGGATGAAGGGAGGGCGGAGGAGGCGAATAGAGAGAATCCTAATAAAGAAGGCGCCGGTCGCCCGCTTACGCGATTTACCTTACGGATTCGTGTCCCCTCGCGTGTCGCGTGTAGCAGCCCTTTGCAGTGGCCGGTGATCGATCGATCGAAGGGTTCCGCCGTTTGTCCTCGTAGCCGACGTTGTCCGGCGCTCTAACGAATGTGCTGCGACTGGAGAACATTGACGTGACGCGATGACGCATCCGATACCTATTGCTATTGCTCGAGAGTGGAAACGAGCATTCGCGTACGTCGTCTCTTTTAGCCCTTGAATAGCCTCTAATCAAGAACGGCTGGTGTATATAAATCCGAACGCTCGCTCAAAGCGTCGAGAGTTGATTAAACGTGCGGACGTGAGGACAGATCGCGGAGAAGGAGCAGGAGAAGGACAAAGGGGACAGGGAGAGCGATCTCTCCGCAAGCGCGTGAGCGTAACGTGCTTGAAGAAAGAAAAAGCAAGTACCATGTTTCTTCGCAGCGCACGGTAAGAACACACAATTCATTAGCGAACGGTATCCGAGTCCTCCTTCCAGGCCGTGAGCGAAAACCGATGGCGCATATTTACCAGGTATGTAAATATGAAACCGGAATTTTTGTATAGAAAATACACGTTTATTGTATGAAAATGATAACAAATATTTTATTCCAAGTATTGCCCATCGCTAGCTATACATTGTTCCCACCTGTCTGACAATTTGTGGATGCCACGCCGAAAAAACTGTTGCTCTTTTGAGGCAAACCAGTCATCGAGGCATTTTCGTACATTTTCGTAAGAAGTGAAGCGCTGCTCAGCAAGTGCGTGTCCCATCGATGCGAATACATAAGTAGTAATCGGACGGAGCCGCAAGTCTGGTGAGTAAGCCGCATGCGAAACTAAACGCCTCAATCGTTTCCTTGAGCAGTTTTGCTGTGTGATAATGCGATGATGCATTATCATGAAGCAAAATCACTTTGTGTCGCCTTTTTTGATATTCTGGTCGTTTTTCACGCAAAGCTTGATTCAAATCGATCATTTGTTGTCGGTAGCGTTCGGTATTAACGGCTTCGCCAGGTTTTAGCAGCTCATAATATAATAGATCACACCCTTCTGATCCCACCAAACACGGAGCATTGTCTTCCGTCCATAGCGATTTGGCCTTGCAGTCGATGTCGATGCTTCGCCTGGAGTTACCCCCATGTCTTTTACGCTTAGGATTCTCAAAATATATCCACTTTTCATCGCCAGTCACAATTCGATGGAGAAATCACTTTCTTTTGTACCTGGCGAGCAGCATTTCGCAAGTGGGTTTTCGGTTTTCCTGCTGTCTTTCATTCAGTTCATGTGGAACCCATTTTCCCATCTTCTGGATCTTTCCCATGGCTTTCAAACGTGTGGAGACGGCTTCTCGTGTCACATCAAATTGATCCGCGAGTTGTTGTTGCGTTTGAGCGTCATCCTCTCATCCAACAATGCTTGCAACTCGCTGTCTTCAAACTTTTTCGGTGGTCTTCCACGTTCTTCGCTTCTCGCGTCAAAATCTCCACGTTTGAATTTTTTAAACCACTCAAAGCACTGTGATTTACCAAGAGCATGCTCACCGTAAGCTTCGACAAGCATTCGATGCGATTCCGCAGCAGTTTTCTTCAAACGGTAACAGAAAATCAATGCTGTCCGCAAATCGTGTGCCTTCCAGGCACAAAATTCGACATGTTCAACGCTATTACAAACTATGCTGTTGTACGAAACTTGTATTGTTGTGACTTGAAGATCTTTGTCAGATGTCAACAAATGGAAATTTGCGCCAATGACGCGGTTTGACGGTAACCACATTGGCAGCTAGGGCCATCTATGGGCAAATTCCGGTTTCATATTTACAGACCTGATAACGACAGCCCGAGCAGCAACGAGCAGATGTATCCGCCAGAGATGAAGAAGCGCGGCGAGTCACCGAGTACTTTGTCTTCGCAATCCGTTGGGTCAGTTGGCGGCAAGAGCTCGCGCGAGCTCGAGGCTCAACGTAGACCGCGACATATCAGTGTTGAATAAAGTCTCCGAATTTTTGTAAGCGCCGCGAATGCCAGCCGCGCGAGATCACCTGGAGCACCCGTCCGTCGTTCGCCAAGTACACCCGAGATCGCTTGATCGATACACGCCCGCGAGTACTCCGTACGCGAGGCTCAGCAAGAGGAGGAGAGTGCCCGGCCGTCAAGTTGGGCTCGAAGGGTCGCGCGCGCGCGCGATCAATCGACGTCTATGTCGCGGCGAGGGGCTATCTGTCAGTCGATGAATAATTAGGAGCGATTATGAGGACGGTTGCGACAGCGGGGGTGAATCGCGGCCGTCGATAGAGCCGTGCTCCGATAATTATTAATTTGTCCATGTGTACCGGCACTAATCAAATTAATAATTACCGCGGGGACCCGCGGCACATCGAGAAACCCGGCGCGCGCGTCGCATTCATTGCACTGCACTGCAATGCACGCGAATGCAACCCGGGATAATTAATATCATTTTTCGCCCGTTACCGACAGGCACGGGCGAGAGCCGCGCTCTCGCAACGCCACGAAGAAGCGAGGAGCCGCCCCGCCTCGCTGCGCCGCGCGAAATGCACGTGTCGCATCAGCAGACACACGACTCTCATCCCCAGCCTCTCATCGATCGCTCAATCGCGGCGTTGCGTTCGCGGCGGATCCGATCCGATTCGGATCTCGCATTTGCGAGCTGCGTCCGTATCCTCGAGCGACGTCGCGATATCAAGCCGTGATATCAGCCGATCCACCGACCGCGCGCCGGCGAGCGGGGAGAGCAACGACGGGGAGTGATGTATCGATCCCCCCGCCGAGGAATCCGCGTTATCACTCGTGTGCGTGAGTGTGCGCGAGTGTGAGCACGTGCGAATGCGCGCGCGCGCGCGTGTGTGTATTTTGCGTGAGGCATATTTGTGCGGTCGCGTTTGCGCACGTGCGGTGTCTCGCGCGGCCGGCATTCCCACGGCCGCGCGATGCAATTAACACTTGGTAACACACTGTGCAACTGCGTTAGTACTTGTAATCGCAGCACGCATACGTGTAGCACGCGTACATGTAATCACGGCGAAATAAATATTTTGAAACCTAAGACACACCTCGCGCCGGCCTGCCGCGCGACCCCGTCGGTTTCCCCTGATCCCCTCCTCCCCTCCCTTCCCCGCCGCGCGAATGAGATCGCGATTAATAGAGTTTCGAGCAGCAGTGGGAGAGGATCTCCTCCGCAGTGCTGTCGATTTGTTCTGCAGCAGCCGCTCGCGAGGGGCGGAGAGTAACGTCAAACGATATCCGCCGACGATTATTTTCCCTTTATTACTCCCAGCGAGTCACTGCGGGAGATTTAAGTGAGGAGATTTTATTGCGCCGGTAAAAATTTGTACCACGCTCTCTCTCTCTCTCTCTCTCTCTCTCTCTCTCTCTCTCTCTCTCTCTCTCTCTCCCTCTCTCTCTCCCTCTCTCTCTCTCCCTCTCTCTGGCCAAGTTTATACACACGCACACATACATACGTATACATACATATATTCATTTCTTTGCGGAGCCGCTCCAGATCCTCGCGCTCCCGCCGTACTTTTTCGAGCGCGCCCGATCCTTCGACGACGGGAATATGCCGAGGCCGAAAAACAAGAAGATACGGAGATAATACGCGCGACACACATGCGGGCGGATCGATGCTCGCATATGTACGCACGTACTACAATCGGGACTCTAACGAGCTATCGATCCCCGGAATATAGTCGATGACTCGTTTAGTGCCGTCCGTGTCATTCCTATCCTCGTCTCCTCCGAACGGAGGCCTGACATTTAATTACCGGAATGGAATGATCGACCGACGAGCGACCTCGAGTGCACTCGAGTTTTTAGCCCGGCCTTTCGCTGCGACGCATTCGCGATTTGACGACGCACGACAAGCACTTAGGGAGTGCGCGTCGCTCCGCGAGACACACAAGAGAACGCGTGTTTCCCGAAGAAGCTATCTTCTTTTGCCCTCTCAACCTCTTTCTCTCTGACGCGCGCGCATCTAAACGATTTCTCCCGACAAACTGATGCGCACTCGCGCGGAATATACATATATATATATCGCGTCTTAACGACGCTCCTCGTATATCTTGAGATCGTAAAAAGAGACACCGCGTGACGTCAAGCGCCCGCGAATCGACGACAATGCGGCTGCTATTGGCGAGGAGGAGATCGCCGCCCGACGAGCGTGAGGAGAAGCGATAATTTTGGGGTACATCGTGGGTCCTGACGCATTCATCCATCCACACGCTGTACCATAACGACACGACCGTATCAACGTCGTATATCGGTCGACTTCGTAGGACGAAGTAACGACGTCATAATAGCTTTAACAGCGCGAACGCACCATGTGTCCCCGATATTAATTTCCGCAAAAAGAGAGAGAGAGAGAGAGAGAGAGAGAAGCAGCTTGATAACGCGTTTCGCTCCCTCCCCCGCCCCCACCTCCCCCAGCCATCCTTCAAGACCATTATCCGCGCGCGAGTTTCCCCTTAATTAACTCCGCGTAATTAGCAGACGACTGGCCGGCCGGCCGGCAACTTATCTCCGTCGAATTTGTAATTCCGCGCGAGGCGCCGTTCTCCCGCGCGAAGCGAGCTAATTCGAGAATTCCGAGCGCGTTTCTTCTCGCAACGAAATGAGAGAGCCCGGCTCGTCGTCGCCGCTGCTGCTCCGTGGATGACTGGACTCTGCGACTCGTTAACGGACTCTCAAGACCTCATGTAGGGTCGTTGGGGAGAATGTTGGCCGACGTTGGCGTCGCCGCCCTCCGCGACGGCGATGCACGAGTAACGATGGACCTGGCGCGATACAATGGCTTATCCTGCTCGTGCCTTGAATACGCCATTCAAGCGAGCGAGGTGCGCTATTGAAGCGAGCCTGTAATCGTCCGGATCCGCCGCAGGATCCTTTTCAACGTAAATGTTTTTAAAGGTCCTTCTCCCCGAAAGCGGGAAAGCTTT